TTAAGGAAGTGGAGCGACATCCAATCTGATATGTCGCTCAGTAGGTGTGTGATTCGGGCAGAGACCGACCGGGGGGTGAGGTGGGGGGTTGAGAGATAGATTTGTGTGTCATCGGCATAGAGGTGGTAGTTGAAGCCGTGAGAGTGTATGAGTTGGCCAAGGGAGGAGGTGTAGATGGAGAAGAGAAGGGGCCCAAGGACAGTGCCTTGAGGGACCCCAACAGAGAGGGGGAGTGGGGGGAGGTGGTAGCATTATAGGTAACGCTGAAAGAGCGTTGTGACAGGTAGGATGAGAGCCAGGAGAGAGCAGAATCTCTGAGGCCGAGGGAGTGTAGTATTTTGAGGAGGAGGGGGGTGGTCAACTGTGTCGAAGGCCGCAGAGAGGTCAAGGAGTAGGAGCACTGAATAGTGGCCATTAGCTTTGGCGGTTAGAAGGTCGTTGGAGAGTTTGAGTAAGGCGGTTTCGGTGGAGTGTAGGGGGCGGAAGCCAGACTGTAGGGGATCGAGGAGGTTGTTGTTGTTGAGGTGAGAGCATAGACGGGTGTGTAGACGAGGCGCTCGAGGAGTTTCAGATGTAAGTGGGAGCAGGGAGATGGGTCTGAGGTTGTTCGGGTCATTGGGGTCCAGGGAGGGCTTTTTAAGTATGGGGGTGATGTGTGCATGCTTCAGTGGGGAGGGGAAAGTGCCGGAGGAGAGGGAGAGATTAAAGATGTGGGTGAGGGAGCGTAGGATGGAGGGGGAGGGAGGTCGTAGGAATTGTGAGGGGATAGGGTCGAGGGGGCAGGTGGTGAGGCGGGCATCAGAGAGGATCTTGGAGACTTCCTCGATGGTAGTAAGGTCAAAGGTGTGGAGTGTTGGGGGAGCTTCAGTATGAGGAATGTAGGGTGGGGTGGGAGTGGAGGTCAGAGCAGTGGTGGGGCCGTGGGAGAGGGGTGATGAGGGGGTAGCTGAGTGAGGGGGAACGGGGTTGGAGGGAGTTTGAGCAGTGACGAAGTCCCTGCGGGTAATGTCGAGGGGGGGGGGGATGAGGGGGTAGCTGTGTGAGAGGGGACGGGTTGAGAGGGCGTGTGAGTTGCGGCAATGTCCTTGCGAATTGTGTCAATCTTGTTTTTGAAGTGATTGGCAATCTCAAGGGCGGTGAGTGAGGTGCTGGGTGGAGGTGGGGGGTGGAGAGAGTAGAGAGTTGAAGGTGGAGAAGAGTCGGCGAGGATTGGAGGAGAGGGCCTTGATGAGGGTCAGGAAGTAGGCTTGTTTGGCTGCGTGGAGGGAGGAGGTGTAGGTGCGGAAGGCAGATTTGTAGCAGGTGAAAGCTTGTTGGGATTTTGTTTTGCGCCATAGTCGCTCCAGGGCACGACTGCGTCGTTTGAGGGTTTTGGTGTGATCAGTCTGCCAGGGCTGGAGCGGTCGGAGTCTGATGTTGCGTGTGGTTAAAGGCGCTAGCGAGTCAAGGGCTGCTGACAGCACGTTGTTGTAGGCAGTCATAGCCAAGTCGGGGCAGGACAGGGGGAGGATGCGGTCGTGGAGTTGATCAGCTGCAGAGTGAGGGGGCAGGGTTAAGGTTGCGGAGGTTACGGTAGTGTGTAGGGGTAGGCGTTGGAGGACGAGGAGATAGAGAAGGTGATCAGGTTGTGGTCAGAGAGAGGGAAGGGGGGTGTTAGTGAGGTTGTGGGGAGCGCAGCGGTTGGAGAAGACAAGATCAAGGATATTACCGTCGGAGTGGGTGGTGGATTGTATGCACTGTGCAAGTGCAAAGGAAGAGGTTAAGTGGAGGAGACGGGCTGTGTCTGGGTTGTCAAGGTTGACAGGGATGTTGAAATCCCCAAGAATGATGGTGGGTAGCTCAGAGCAGAGGAAGAAGGGTAGCCAGGAGGAAAAGTCATTCAGGAAGCGGGGTATGGATCCAGGAGGCCGGTATATCACAGCAATCTTCAGGGGGGTTGGGGAGAATAGTCGGACGCAGTGGGCCTCGAAGGAGGAGAAGGATAGGGAGGGGGGGGTTTGGGAGGACTCAGAAGGTGCTCTGCGGTGACAGGAGCAGACCAACCCCACCACCTTTGCGACCGTTGGGTCTGGGTGAGTGGGTCCAGGTGAGACCTCCATAGGAGAGTGCAGCAGGGGAGGTAGAGTCAGTGGGCTGGATCCAGGTTTCCGTGATCGCCAGGAGGTTGAGGGAGCGGGAAACAAAGAGGTCGTGGATGGCGGTAAGCTTGTTGCACACCGATCGGGCGTTCAGGAGTGCACATGAAAACGGGGGGGAGATTTTAGGGAGCAGGGGGACAGATAGTAGGTTGCGGGGGTTGCGGTAGGACATGGAGGCAGGAGGGTGTTGTGTGCGGGTGAGGGAGGTGGTGGAGGGCCAGGATTCGGGGAGATGTCTCCCGCGGCTAGGAGGAGAAGGGTGAGAAAGGTGGCATGGGAGCGGGATGTGCAGGAGCGTGAGAAACTCCTAGTGGAGGTGTTCGGGTCAGTGGGAGAGTGGAATAATAGGAGGAGGTGGTGGGTGTGAGGGGCGAAGGAAGCAGTGAGGACACAATATATGTTTAGGAGGAGCAGAGGGATATAGTGAATGGATTTTGGGAATGGAGGAGAGGAAAATGAGGAGTAGAAGAGGCATTTTGGGGGGTGATGAGAGCAGTAGTAGGGAGATGATAGCAATGAGGGGGAGATGTGCAAGTTTTGGGGTGGAGCAGAGGGGTAAAGAAATGAGATTTGGGAACAGAGGATAGTAGTATGAAGAGGAGTGTATTATATAAAGGTACACAGAGTGGGACTCAGGCATGTAAGAGATGTTTCCCAGGGTGTTTGCTTGCAGTCTGTCCAGCATGCAGTAGAGTTTCTTGCTGTTGTTGTGTCTTTCTGCTGCTTAAGTTCTCCTGCTTTAGTTCAACTGCTGTGTTTAACTGCTTCGCACTCTTTCGAAGCCGCACTCCATCAGAAGCAGCACCCCCATCAGAGACTGTGCCCCCCATCAGAGATACTACACCTGCTAGTAAATTATTTGCCATGTAGAAATATCATTTCTACCAAAAACAGTGATTGATCAGGTTAGTGGGCCACATTTGAATGTGAAAAGGTTTAATATTTACTACTCTTACAGTTTGGGAAGTGCTAGTTTTTCTTTTGGTTTTGGCTATACCAGCATTACCTAGAAAGCTGAAAAGCGAAAGATTAAAAGTCAGGGAAAAATACTAACAATTTACATTTTCCTACACCTGTGCCTTGGAAACCACTCGTGTGCAGGGTACTGCAGTATGGCTTGCATGAAAAGGATGTAGTGTATGCTACAGAGCCATCAAGACATGTAACACCAGGAACTGGAATTTAAAATGATACAGGGAAACCGTCTTACCATGACCACGTTGTTGTTCAGGGTCCAGGCCTCGCTTGTTGCAATGGGCATACCCCCAAAGGGGTCTTCAGGGATTAGGTGCCATAGGAATGGACCACAGTCCTGGACCTGTATAGCAACCTGTGGCTAACTAAACTTGTTGCACCATGTGCTGAGGTGAGCGCTGAAAGCAGTATCCGGTGCCAAAGCAAACAGACCGAACCTACTGCCTCGGGGTCCTGTTCCTAAGATGTACAGTACTGTACAAAACATTTTAGGCAGGTGGAAAAAAAATGCTGTTAAGAATGCTTTCAGAAATAGAAGTATTACTAGTTTGTTTTTAGCAATTAACAAAATGAGTAAAAAAAAAAAGTAAATCTAAATCAATATTTGGTGTGACCACCTTTTGCCTTCAAAAACAGCATCAATTCTTCTAGGTACACCTGCATACAGTTTTTGAAGGAACTCGGCAGGTAGGTTTTTCCAAACAGCTTGAAGACCTAACCACAGATCTTCTGTGAATGAAGGCTGCCTCAAATACTTCAATCTCTTCATGTAATCCCAGACAGCTCTGTGGAAGCCAAACCAACACTTCCAGGACTCCTTGTTCTTCTTTACAATGAAGAGAGTTCTTAATGAAATATGTCTGGGGTCGTTTTTTTTATCCTGCAGAATAACTTTGGGGCCTCTCTGATGGTATAGCATGATGGATAAGTATCTGCCTGTATTTTTTCAGTATTGAAGACACCACTGATCCTGACCAAATCTCCAACTACACTTGTAGAAATGCAGCCCCAAACTTGCAAGGAACCATACTTCACTGTTGCCTGCAGACACTCATTGTACTGCTATCCATTCCTCCGGAGAACCAACTGCCTCCTGCCAAAACCAAATATTTCAAATTTTGACTAATCAGTCCAGAGCACCTGCTGCCATTTTTCTGCACCCCATGTTTCTATGTTTTCCTGCATAGTTGAGTCGCATAGACTCGTTATAACCCATAGTCTATGAATCATTTTCTGAGTCCTATACAGTATGATAAATATAATAAAGCTGAAGAAAAAAAAACATGCATTATCCTAGGACACCATCAAAAAGGCATCCTGGGAGTGGGAGGAGTTATCATCCGCTGCTCTACAGTTTATTTGCTATTGTCCATCCTTCTGTAGGTAGCAGTATAATCTGAGAGCTAAACACTTTCTGTGTCCCTCAATGGACAAGAAAGAAAATCCACATACAAACTTAAAGCAAAGGCGACATACTATGACAGTGCCACCCATACTAATGCCAAAATTTGTGAAAAGAGGTTGGATGGCTATTTCCTTCATTCTAAGTACCTACTGTTAACGATGAGTCCAGCTGAAATACTGGAACTCATTCCTTTGACCATATAGTGTACAAGAAATGTGCCCTGATCACTTGCTATAGTACCATCTAATCATTTAGTGAGTATTATGTGAGGGAGATGTCTTTATTAAAAAAAGATCAGCACGTGAAAACCATATTTAAATGTACATTTTTTGTTTGTTTTTTTAATTCGCATGTAATGGCAGTAAAAAATGTCACATACAATTTATTTCAGTACAATTGGATACCCAAAAAGGTGAAAAAGTCTGTCCATAATTTAAAGGTAGAAAATAATTCTAGAACATTCAGGTGTGAATTGTTTTGGATCACGCTCTGGATACTCGAAGAAGGCCTCTTATTCTCCTGACCAGCGCCTGGATGAAGCTGTGCCGAGACCGAACTTTGCAGTAGACACTCTCAATGTCTAGCAGGCGCTTCTGCAAGGATTCCCCAAAAATATTAGCACCATCTCTTTGCAGCTGTTCAGAAGGGGAATAAAAAAAAAAAAAGGTAAAGAAAAAAATTAATATGGGCAAATTTACTTGGTTTCAGATATTCGAATATACTGCAGTCAGTCCTTTTGTTCACAAGTTTCTGTGACCTAGCATCAGGAGGGCAATCTCACACACCTACTGAAAAATGTCATGTCATCATATTCTTTTGCAATTTCTGCTCCTCTTTAAAGGTGGCATCAGTAGTCTATTAGACTCCTTGTGTCACCTCTGCACTGAAGTTACCTGAATGTTGTCTTTGCACTGAAGCCAATCAAGCTAAAGACATCTCTGAAACCAGAAGTGACAAAATGGAAGAACATCGATGGCCTAAAAATGCCATAGACATCATTGGTCAGCAGGAGGGATAACGGAGCCCATGATACATGGTGGGGTAGTTAGGACTGGGTGTTGGGGGGCACAGCATATTCTGGTGTATGTGGAAGTGACAGGGCAGCTTTACAGCCACCCAACTTACTTCCAGTAGAAAGCCAACAGTTGGCTAATGAAGTGGAAACACACTGCCAGCTTCTATAGCAGCTGGGCATGTTTACAGGCCTGTGCTGTTGCAGATATGAGCCTTATATCGGTGGCAGCAGAAGGGTTAATCACTTTTGGTCACAAATTTGTTAAACCCATAGATTTGCTGCATCAATGAACAATACAATCAGCTATAATTATGACTCAACAATCTCTTAAAACACCTGATTATAACACACTTTTTAAGGCTCACCATATCAATGTCTTGTTGGGTAATCTTGCTTTGTAACCTGAAGTCTATGTTCGAGTCGTTCAACGTATCTATGGAGACAAGAAAGCTTAACATACCAGAGCTAAAATTGTCCATGTTGGTTGTGATTTTGTATATGTGAACAGTTTCACAAAACAACACCACAATAATGTCCTTACATCTTTTGCATGCGACTCTGAGAAACACTTTACTCACCTTGGAGCCTTCTAGTGCTGAAAGATGTGCTGTTGAGCATTGATTCTGGGCTGTCGTTTGGGGTGTACTGGAGCAGGTAGTATTCTAGGTGGCGCCATAGTATGAACAGACATGTTTCTATGATATCTAATTTAGTGACTAGTCAAAGGAAATTAGTGGAAATATGTTTACTCCAGTCAAGAAGAAAGTTAAAAAATAGTTATCCACATTAGCATCACTGACTCACCATCAGCTGTAATTGGACAGACGTTAACGGCGTCTTTAATTGCTGAATTTTACACTAGATCTGACAAATTGTATCCTTGTTTAATAAAAAGCCACTAAAATTAACCTGACACAAGTAATGTCACATTATAATAGACCCAGCCGGCAACTTAGCAAAATTGCAGAGAAACCACAGAAAATGAGGATGTTTGGCTTACCTGTAAAACCATTTTCTTGTTTTACAAAGCAGGTCACAGAGGACTTCATATTCATAACTACTTGGGTTATGCTGCCAATTTGGAGGTAAATGAACACTGGCCAAATAACAAGGCAGGAATGCTGCCCAGGTATAAACCTTCCCAGCTCAGCTATGTTTTAGTTTTGTAGCAAGTAAAGCAGAACAGACAAGTGCAAAGGGATCCTTGTGTCCTGTTATGTACTCCAAGAAAAGAATTTTAGAGAGCTATGGGTGGAAAAACATTGGTACACTGCTCTTCCCAGTGAATGGCTGTGCAGTGGGACATGCCAGCACAAGTCTGATCAATGGAGGACAGGTAAGCTGTGCGCCCAGAAAACTGATCACACTGGATGGTCGTGCTGTCGTGCCTAGCGTTTGAAACAGAAAATAATCAGGACTAGCAGTATCAGCAGGTATTTCACACAAAAAAGACATGCAAAGAGAACAGGATACTTTTTAAACACAAGTATGTAGTACAACAGGCACATATCAGGAATATGAAAAGTTGCAGTGACATTCTTTAAGGCACCAAGGAGACAAGGGGGGCCACACAGGCGAACAGTGCATGTGACACCCTGCACAAAGAGTTTACCAAGGAATAAGGCACAATATGTTTCTGAAACAAAGGCCAATCCTGAAATCTGTCACTTGGTGGTATTTAAAACCAGAGACATCTCCACACCAGACTGGAGAAAAAACAAAATCGGCCCCACAAAAGATTGTAGGGAATAAAACTTATGAGCCTCACACCAAGCAATAAAGTCTTCAATGTACAGTGGCACACCTTCCTGGAGGTCGACTTCCTTGCCTTCAGTAGGGTAGGGATTACACAGTCAGAAACATCCCTGTGTCCTAGGGCTTGTGCTTCAACAGCCATGCTGTCAAAGACCGTTGATCTCAAAGGAAGATGAAAGATTGGATCCTGTGACAGCAAATCTGGCCGATTTGGAAGAAATCATGGTTCGCCTGGCAAGAGATTTACAATGTTTGCATACTGCATCCTTCTTGGAACTGGTGAGATCAGAATCCCTGCAAAGCCCTTTAACTTTACCCTGTGCAAAAGTCAAGAAAGAAGCTGCAACAGAGGGAAGGCATAGATCAGCAAAAACTGATCCGAAGGAGTCAACAAAGCATCTACAGCAAATGCCTGTTGATCCCTGGATTGGGACAAAAACCTGTCTAATTTGTTGTTGAACATGGGTGCCAAGAGATCCACATCTGGCATCCCCCACAGCAGACAAATCTCTGCATAAACCTTTTGGTGAAGGGTCCATTCTTTCAGTGTCAGCAGCTGAAGGTTCAGAAAGTCCCCTTGCCAATTTTACACTCTGGCAAACTGCATGGAAGAGATGGCCGAAAAAATGAAGTTCTGAATCTGGGCAGCTGACATCACATCCAAAATGACAGCACCAATCAGCAGTCTCAATGGCTTCTGGATGTCTACACAATCAATGCTTTTACAGGTAAATAGCATGCATAGAATACGTTAAATGCACATACTGTATTAATCTCATGGGAAGAATCCCTTTAACCACTTGCTGACCAGAGCAGTTTAATTTTTCATACACACAAGCTAAAAAAATCAGCATTGTTTGCTTCATAATTATATTGAACTTGCAAACATTATATATTTTCTGAAAGCAGAGGCCTGGGAGAATAAAATGGTGGGGGTTGCAATTTTTATGCCACCTCTTTCTGCAGCCATTTATCACATGCAAAATTTTACACTAAAAAGAAATTTAAAGTATACAAAACACAACATACAGTAATACCCAAGTTTTTGGCAACTATAAAAGATGATGTTGCATTAAGTAAATAGATATCAAAGACTCAAAACTGCATGCACATGTGAATTGGTGGCAAACTTTATTGCTATCTCAAGGGGGTTAACAGGCCCCCAATGTGATAGCCTTGGACAGGTGACAGCTGCCCTTTATGGAGACCCCGAATGTCTCCCTAACCCTCCAATGCCGTTCATGAAGCACAGATAAAGCTTGATTAGCTGCTTCAGCTCTGAAACCATGAACTCGTCTCTTCTGACATCATTAGTCACAGAGACTGGGGAATGGATGTTCTTCCATTTCCTCTAAGAAAGCTAAACACAATGATAGGGGAACAGATATTACTCCATCTCCTCTTTGATTAGCTATCCCGACTGCTTACAGCAGCTCCGGGCTTCCCAGAATTTTAAGGCAAACCTGAGCCTTAAAGTGTTACTAAACCCACAACAGTAAAATCAGTCTGTATATGCAGTAAAGCAAGCTTGATATACTCACTGTGGAACCTAAGGGGTTAATCCACTGCATTGTGTAAAAAGGCTATTTGATCCTGACTTCTCTGCCCCTCCTCTTGTTCAAATGTCCACACTGATAAGACAGACTGAACCTTCTGCACATGCTCAGTTTAGTGTGTATTGCTTGAGGTTTTTTTTTCTTGGGAGAGTGCATGTGATCAGCATCAGCACTGTCCAGACAGAGGGTCAGGGTTTTGCATCCTCCTAGAGCGGAAAGAAAACTCCTCCTACAAGTTTTAACCAGTGCTCTGCTGAAATCACAAGACTGCTCTAACTGCTGATGAGAAAAGGCATTTAGCAGTTTATACTTACTAAAATAATAGCATTTCCATATTGTGTGTACTGTGGAAACCAGACAGAGTGAATGCAGGGTCCGGGGTTTAGTAACACTTTAAACCATTGAGGGCAATTTAATAAGTTTGCTTAAAAGCTCACTCCCCCTGCAGAAAAGTAGTCGCTTTTCCTTTACTCCTCATCTCTTCTGTTCAGCCACTGGCTGCAAAGAATACAGAGAGGAATTTTACAGTTAAATAACATGCACAAAATACAAATCTCACCTTATAGGGGGGTTTTTAAAGACTGGATTTTACAACAGCTTGGCCCAATTGTGTTTTTATGAATCAAAAGCTACTTAAAGTGGACCTAGCACAAAAGCAAGAATGTGTAACACTTCCAAATATGTATTGGCTTTAACAGAGATCAAAGGATACAGCAGCAGACAGACAAAAGTTTGGCTTTGCTGTTGATGAGTTTCACTAGTCTCCTCCGTGCCAAAGCATACTTTTGTGTGCTGGAGATTTTATCTATCCCGACTGGCATCTCAAACTGGGACAACTGAAGACAGAAAAGATGTCACTGATTTGAGAATACCTGCCAGTTTTTAAGACATAAGGCAGGACAGAATATTTTGGTTTTGGCAGATACCTCTTTGATTTCATCGGGTGGAAGTTGCTCCACGTTCTGTAACTTGCTTACGCTCTGTCGATGGATGTCATAGTAGGTGAAAAAGTCGCTGGAGCATTGCTTGAGGAGAGACAAGACAATGCCAAGACTGGGGAGTCTCCACGAGGAGAAGAGGGACGTCTGAGAGTCTGTAGTGTAAACAAATGAAAAAATATTATAAAACTACATTATTTTAACCACAATATTTTCGCACTTACTGTTAAAGGTTGACACCTTGTCACCCTATGAACAGCATAGTTCAAAGCTGGCCATGGAAGATTTTTTTTTTATTTAGCCCCCTTGGACTAACAGAATCTTTATCCCCACAAACAAGCTGGATAGAGGCGTCCACCCTGCTGGGACACTGCAGCCCGGATCTGGAAATAAAGCTTTGCAGCATGTCAGATCTTTTTTCAGATCTGAATTTCAAATCTTTCCTTTAATGGCCAGAAGTTTAGGAAGCAGCTTTAACAGCAGGAGCCGGCAGCATTAAAAGTTGTAAAATGCAAATGCTAGGGTAAGAATTTTAGTAAATAGTTTATTTGGGAGTGTTTTCTATTGTGCTCAATGTGGTAAACCAAAATAGGAGGGTTTAAAGTATCATTAAAAAAATGTCAGAACATGTTTGTATTACATGCTGTTCATATGCGCTTAGCCACTAGAGGATTTGTCTTGGATACACTGCAAAAAACCTGCCATTCACTGTCTCTTCCTCCAGTCTGTGTCTCCAGCTTGCGATTCTGTAGGGCGGCCATTGCCACTTTCCATTTCAGTGTGTTTCTGTACTGGATATTTCCTCCCTATTTGCATCTGAATAGCCCACGTGACTATAGAGTAACACACATTGGGCATATACACACTAGAGAAATGAGAGCCCACTCCCTCCCCTCTCCTCCATGCTTAACACAATGGGGGCAGGATACTGTCAGTCATGTATAGCTCTGCCCATAATTCGTTAGAGCTGGCGAAACGTCACCTTACAGGTATGCATTGCTTATCAACAAAGGTGATTACATTTTTTTGTTATACAAAGAAATACAATGGCATCATCAATATACAAAAATAGAACTGATAATGTAAATTAGTAAGTGCGTTTAGTATCACTTTATTACGTTTTTGGTTTACCTGTAAAAACCCTTTTCTTGTATAGTGCATCACAGGACATGGAAGAGCTCATATTCATTACTACTTGGGTTTTGATGCCACCCTCAGGTGAATGAACACTGGCCAAAAAAGGCTGGGATCCCCTCCCAGGCATAACATGTTCCAGCTCAGGTAACAGACAAGAAGGGAGGGATCTTTGTGTTCTGTGATGTACTCCAAGAAAAGGATTTTACAGGTAAAGCAAAGTTCCTAATTTCTTAATTGTACATCAAAGGACACAGAAGTTCATACTGACTTTGAGATGTCCAAAAGCATTGAACATGAGGGGTGAGCAACACTGGGCCAACACACCCCAAATCTACAAGTCACTTTGCCCAAAAGTGGCATCCGCATAGACATAAACATCTACCAGGAATAATTAGTAAAAGGGTGAAGAGAAGACCAGATAGCAGCCTTACAAACATGAACCGCAGAATCTTGATGGTAAATAGTCCAAGAAGCAATAACACCCCTGATGGAATGGTCCTTAAACAAGAAAGAGCCAACGAATCCACCTAGAAATAGTGGATCGAGAAGCAGCCCGACTCTTGTGAGAACCCTCAGACAAAACAAACGGAGTCCACAATTATAAAAAGGTAAATTAACTCATGCACTGACAAAAAATGAATCCCATAGGGGATTGCTGCTAACACCCAGCTGTGTGATTTTTTTTTGGTTTGGATTGAAGATTGATTTACCATTTATGCACACGGATAACTTGTATATATTTGGTGGACATTTATTTTAGATGGATATATACTGTATGTATTATTATTTTTTTTCACACTTCTTGGATATGTGGAGCACGGATATGATGGTCTGTATTAGCAGACATTAAGAGTAGTAACCATAGTTGCATTGTGATATGTATTGTGGTCTTTATTCACTATTGAGTTAGTTTATTCACAGCATCTGTGTCACGCATCACTTAACAATATATGAGATTTACAGCACCAGGTTGTGGTCTTAACACGCTTTAATGGTTTAACTGAAAAGCCTGCAACACATTTTCCATTTATATTTATTTATTATTTGATTTTTTTTTTTTTTATACTTAATGTATTTACATTTGGAGCCCAAGATTGTGGGGTCACTGTTATTGCATTGGTCTCATATTGCATTAGAGGATTACCACTACACCATACATTATTTTACGTTAAACATGAAATCAGGCTGTCAAAATGAAGCTGTAGACCTCAGAGAGCTCTAACAACATCCAAAAAGTTAAACACCTTTCACTTCGGATGCTTAGGATTAGGCAACAAAATGCTCTGATTCAGGTGGACCGAAAGAAACCATCTTGGCTAGGAAAAAAGACAGAGGCCTCAACACCACTTTATTCTAGTGAAGAACCATAAAAGGTCTCTTGCAGGAAAAGCATAGCCAACTCCAAGATCCTGCAAGTTGAAGTAGTCCCTATAATAAAAAAAAAAAAAGAAGACAACCTTGTGTGTTATATTGTAAAGCGCTGAGCAAACTGTTGGCGCTATATAAATCCTGTATAATAATGATAATATAATAATTGTGCGTAAGGAGACACAAAGGATACTCAAAAAGGTTCAAAGAAGAAGACTGCAAATCAGACAAGATCAAGTTAAGTTCCCAGAGATACCACGGGGGCTGCACAGCTGTAACAATCCATGTGACAATCTGCAAAAAGGCTTTAGCCAGGGAGTGGGATAGGATAAGTCTCTAAAAAAGCACAGCCAGATCCCTGATCTGTGCCTTGAAGCCAAAATATGCCCCACAACATACTTGATTAAAGCTGGGAGCGTCACACCAGGTTAAATAAGCCTTCCATGTACGATGGTACACCTTCCTGGAGTTCCGCTTTTAAGATTAAAGAAGGGTAGGGGTTACAGAGTTAGAAACTCTCTATCCTATTTCTCAGAACTTAGGTTTCATCAGCACTGCTGTCAAAGTCAGCAATCATACAGCAGAATAATTGGTTCCTGCGACAGCAAATCTGGTCAGTCCAGATGTACCCATGACTTATCTGCCAAGGGATTTACGATGTCTACATGCCATGTTCTTCTTGGCCAAGCTGGTGTGAATAGAAATCGCCAGAATGCCCCTTCACCTTTACCCTGGGCAAAAGGCTCAAGAGAAGCTGAGAAGTGGAGGGACAGCAAAGATCAGGGAAAACTGATCCCAAGGAGTCACTAGGGCATGCACTGTAAACACTAGAGGATTCATCGATCGGGACATAAGGCTGGGTGGAGGGCCCATTCCCCCAAATTCAGTTGTTGATGGTTCAGAAAATCCGCCTGCCAATTTTCTACACTGGGAATGTGCACAGTGGAGAGGGCCGATAGATGAAGCTCTGTCCAAGATAAAATCAGGTCTGCCTCTTCCTGAGCAGCACAACTTCTTGTATCTTCTTGATGTTGATATATGGCACAGCTGTGGCATTGTCTGACTGTACCCTGATAAGGAGACCCCAAAAGCAGACAGACCAGTACATGAGAGTTTCACATGCACCGCCTGCAAACACTGGAAGTCAATCTCTGAAATGATTGCTCCCTGAGGAGCAGGCCATTCAGGTACCCCAGGTACAAACCTAGAACCAAAGACATCACATTAGTAAACAGCCTTGAGGCCATGCACAGGCTGAAGTGCAACGCCACAAATTGATAAGGGCAATCCTCCACTGTGAATCACAGAAACCGTTGGTGAGGCTGGAAAATCATGATGTACAGATAAGCATCCTCGATATCCAATAACGCCAAGATGTTCCTTTGATAAAAATAAGTACACCAGCCAGGTGGACTCCATCTTAAAGTTTTGTGTTTTCAGGAACTTGTTGAGGCCCTTGAAGACCAAAATGGGCCAGAAGTCCCCATGCGGCTTGGGAACCTTAAGACGTTGTGATACCGCTCTTCCATCAGCACAGGTGGGATGACCCCCTGTGACAGCAGTCTTTCTAGGGTCACAAAGAAAACCATTTTTTGCGAATCTGAAGATACCCTTGACTGCATAAAGCATGGAGGAGGAAAAGCACTGAAACTCCAGCTTGTCGCTTATGGACACCATACTACAGACCTAGTTGTCTGAGACTTCCACAGAGGACCATAGACATCTCCCCACCCATGTGAGTGAGGGCACCCTTCACTGTGAGGAGGATTTTCCTCGAGGAGCCGAGGACTTGGGAGTCCAGTTCTACCTATGGAACTAGGCATAGGCTTCTGTTTAGAGTCTGAGGCAAACTGCTTACGAAAGGAAATGTTCTTCTCAAGGTATCACTGGTTTCTGACTTGTCACCTTCTTCTTAAAGCCGTCATAAACTTTCCTAACAGCACCTTGTGTTTTTCAGCTGCATAAGATGTCCATTGATCAAGTAGTTTCATGTAATTTGTTGCTGTGTACACACACCCTATAGTAGAGTAAATCTTCACATTCAGATGTCAGAAGTTTCAGTTTGTGTTCAAACATGAGGTATGCGGCATGGCACTGCTCAGGTAATGCATGACCTCTGTAGTCTAAGTACTGACACTTCCTATGAAGAAGCTACATATCCCACAACCCCTGGGTCTCTCAATCCAGTGCTTATGGAGGTGAGATTTAAAACAGTAATTAGAACGGACACTGTGTGACCTGGAACATTAAGTTGCCCGTTTCTTTAGCAAATAGGGACAAGCTAAGTGAACGAATACATGGACATAAGATAATCAATCAGCTATGACACATCAAATGGCAGCCACAAAATGTGAGCTCATCATTACAAGTTAACACAAACAACACAGGGACTATAAACTACACTACTACGTAGCTAAAACAAGAAAAATATTTAGTGTACAATGCTTTTAAGGATTAAGAGCATACTCTTCCCCAGTCACATTCTGAATGAAGGTATTGAAGGATGGTTGATTAAGCTATTTTAAAAAAGATCTTGCCAGTCTTGGTGGACAAATTAATGGTGTTTAGAGACTCCATGGATAAGAGTTTAGAGGCCCTTTTTAAAGTATAACTGAAGGTAAAACTTTATTAGTGGAGATGGATATTAGGGTAACCTATTAAGTTTTTTTTTTTTGCTGTTCGTCCTCTCCATTTGTTCTGTTTACCATACCCAGAAAAGTATTAGAGGGTAATTCAATGGGGACACTAGTTACCTGGAGGGAACCAAGGGATTTCCCAAAAAACTGACAGGAGTTATAAACCTCCCTTACGCTTTCCAAAATGAAAAGAAGTTTTGCCTATAGTTCTGATATAAGGCATCCTCCTCTGTTAGAAGTGGCTCTAGAAGCAGAGGTGACTGTGGTGAGAGTTCATCAAGCCCGTAAAAGGGATACTAAACGTAAAAAAGTTTTTCACCGTAATCGATTACTTGCATTAAAAAAAAAAAGTTTAGTTTCCCTGTGCTCCCCCCTTCCCTATGTGAAGGAGAAGGGAGGGGAGAAGAGATTAAACCATAAAAAAGCATAAAGAATCAATTGCCTGGTTAGTCTACCCCACAGCTGCATCAACAGATAAATTGATCGTAAAAAAAAGTTTCCCAATTACATACCTAATCTTGGGCCTTCTCTAGCAGTGCTCTCGCTCAGACTGGGGGTGAATAGACACACCATTTGCTGAAGGTTGGGGGAGGTTTGTATCATTAGTGTATGGCAGTATTCCATCACATTGGCACAAACCTACAGAAAACAGAACATGGAAAAAACAAGTCAGCCATAACTTCACTCTAAGTAAATGACTACTCTACATGGAGAATGCCTAGCTGGACAGCCCAGCTTACCTGCTGCATGGCCATCTCCATGTCGTCTCTTTTGCTTACACCATCTAGCTGGGATCCATCACTCTGTAAATTGAGCTGTCTGAGTTTGTCTGAGCCTCCAAAGCGGTTTAATAATGCCAAGCAGAGACGCTAAAGATAAACAAATATATAAATTAGTGCCTTCCCAGTGTTCAAGCTGGTATTTTTTGAGCTGTGCCTTAAAGACATTGGCAAATTTAAAGTTGAACTCCAGGAAAACAGGTAAATATACAGATGTAATGCATATATGAAAGCTGTTTAACTTGCCAAAGGATTTCTCTTCCTCTCCATTAAGTCATGAAATGCACACAGCTTTGCCATACAGCACAGCTGTCTGACAAGGCAGAAGACCTAATTTGTTTTCCGTTAGGGTTTACCAAAAATGGCTGGTCTTACGGCTTACTGTACTGTAGTTATACACATAAACGGATATGTCAATACATTGTCCTGCAGTGACGTAGGGGCTAGCTTTTGAGATTGGAGTTGCTGCCAAAGGAAGTATACCTACACTTCCTTTACAGGGTGATACTATTCCGGTCTATTTTTAAAGTAAACAGAATGGCTTTAAGGTGAATCTGTACCCACACTATGGAAAACAAAGCAGTTAAGGAGCTTTAAAACAAGAGGTCACTCAGCTTCCTTGCACAACCCTATCTGGCAGGGCAGGAGACCTAATTTTTTCATTGCTGCAGTCTGAGCTCTACAGTACAGGGACTGCAGGAGGATTACATCATGTCAAATTCTTGTATCCACACTGCTTAAAAAGGAGCTCCACCCAAAAGGGGAAGTTCCGTTTTAAAGACTGGTCCCCCGCTCCCCATTAAGGATTGGCACCTTTGGGGAGCGGGTACCCGAAATTGGCAGGTAGGCGATCAGAAGCAAAGGTTGTCCTCCTACCCCCCTACCCTCCCTGTGGTCTTCTGGGGCACATGACAGATCAGAGAAAACTACAGGGCCATTCAGGAAGTGCAGCGCTACTCACGCATCCACAGCTGTGAATCTGCAAGCTGTCACAGTCGGGTGCCCACACTGAAGATGCCGACACCTGGAACACCAGGCGACTGGTGAAACGGGCTGTGGGGAGGAGACCACGGAATTGTGGGACAGGTGAGTGGCTGTTTTTTAAAAGTCAGCAGCTACAGTTTTGTAGCTGCTTACTTTTATTTTGTAACAGTGTGAGTAGAACTCCGCTTTAAATTTAAAAGATTACAAATAATAATGTATTACTCAGTAAAGAGTGGCATTCATTTGTGTATTTTATGTCAGCCTGGAGGTTAGCATTAACAAATTAACTAAAAAAAGCATTAACATTTTTTTGCTGAAAAAGTAGTTTACAGTAGGTACCTGAAATCTGTTAATATGTCCATGCAGTTCCATCAAAGAACCATCATTCAAACTAACGTCCAACTCATTAATCACACCTGGAAAATGACATTGACTGTGATATTCTATATGCAACATATACAGTACTTTACTCTAAGAATATATTACCTGCTAACAAGCACTACATGAAAATTAGATGCCTACTACATGTTAATGGTGGTGCTGGCCACAGGGCAAGCAACCCTTTTAAGTGTCCAATCTCTTTTAGTAGCCAAGCCATGTTATTAACATTCTTGAGGAAATCACGGATGCCAAAACGTGTTAGGTGGAGTTACGCCATGGTGATATCAGCATGTAGTTGCACGCAGGTTTGGAAGAGCAGCGCTAGTGACCCTTTCACAATTCTAGCATTTGCCATATGTGAGTTTTATGAAATTTTAAGAAGTTTTATCATAAATACAATTTAGCACTATAATAGTCATCCCAGAGGACTGGGAATATATATATGGTTCATTCTTTGCTGGAACATCTTAACCCCTTCACGCCTAAGGGTAAAACAAATCTAAATGCCTAAGCACAATTCTGCAACGTTGACGTGTTAGTAAAACCGTACATATCGTCACAACTACTTTGTACATCCAGGTGGATTATACCTTGTTTTTTTCAGGACAAATTGGGCTTTCATTTGGTGGTAAATGGTCATGGATAGCTCCTAATTTTTTTTTATTATTAAAGGAAAACTGGGCCAAAATAGTAAAAAAAATCATTTTTTTAAATTTAACTGTGTGTTTCTTGTTACGACCATAACCTACCACCAAAGAACAACTCAAAATACATTCTCCAGTTCTTGACGATCGCAGCGATACCATATATGTGTATGTTATTTGTTGTTTGTACCCGTAGTACAGTCCAGAAACAACAGTGCGCATTTTGTTTTTGTCTTTTTTTTTTTTATATATAAAACACACTGTCACTGAGATTGACATTAACACTAACTGACACTGATACCAATTTTTTTTTTTTTTAAATCCTGACCTTTGACCCTGACCTTTGCCCTTGACCCAAACACTAACCCTGGTACTGAACTAGATCAAACCTTGATCTAGGTATTTTTCTTTATTTTTTCTTTTATTTTTTAATATTTATTTATCTTTTTTTTTTTTTTTTTACAAACTTTTTTTTCTCTCTCTGTGTCAGGAGTTCGAGAGATACAATGTATCTCTCTTCTCCATTCATAGAGAGAGAGAAAACAAGGGGACCGGGCTGCACAGTGATTGATCACTGTGATAGCCAATCAGAGGCTATCACAGCGATCACGTGACCCGGAATCGGGAGTCCCGGGTCCCGATCGTTAGAAAGGGACCCGGGGCTCTCAGTGACACCGCGGTCTTGGTGCTGGGAGCGCGCCGAGCGGCGCGCTCCCAGCACAAAGACAGGTACGCAAATATGCGGCCCAACGGAAAAAAGCCCAGGTCCGTGAGGCCGCATATTTGTGTTACGTCGGCGTCCAGGGGTTAAAGCCCTTATAGAGCTACTTATTTTAGTGGTCAACAAGGGTCTGCGAGTTTATTCCCTTTGGTGGTTAAGTGTGTGGGTGGATGTTTTTACCTGAGCTGGAACTTCAAAATTTTATTTGAAGATTTGATTCAATTTTCCTCAACAAAAACCACATTCCTTCATTTGAGAAAACTGTTCCTTCCTACTCCTTTGAATTTTCCTGTGGTTGAAAAATTAACCTCCTTTAGCCCCCACTAACGATTAGAAAATCAAACAAATGTTCTTAAAATAAAACATTTGGGCTCGAAATTCTACTAGTGTATCGTCAGCTTTAAGCTGAGGAATGGACACAAGAAGTTTTGGAACACTTGAAACACCTTGGACATCTAAAAGGGAAAATAATTGTTTTTATGCATGAGCTTTATGAACCTTTGTTTACACTACATGGATGAATGTATATTTTTGTATTAATTGACATTTAATATTAATTGGATTGTTTTGTAAAGCACTTTTGTTTATGGCATTTTATTGATGAATTTATTTATTTAAATGAACTGAAAACTCATTGCACTGGACTAATGTGTTGATTTTCAAAATGATTTATTTTGCACTTTATTGATGAATTCATTAATTTAATGATTTATTCATATAAATTGGATTCACTTATTGCACTGTATTAATGTGTTATTTGTATAGTTATTTAGTGGTAAAAAGGTTTACGTTTGTGGTTTTTCTTGAATTTTACTGAAATGAGTTATTTTAGTTATACTGCTTATATTTTTATATGTCATCTGTAGTTATTAGTAAGGGGAATTTGATTGATTTGTTGGTTTGGTTCAGGATTGCTGTATTTATTTTTATATAAACAATGGTATTAGCCCTGCCTGAGTTCTCCCATGCTGGACTACAGAACAGCTCCCTTTTAGGAAGACGAGAGGAGCAGAAAGATGTTCTGTAGTTGAGAAGGGAAAACTGGTGCAACACAGGTAGAGTTGCCAGCTCAAATGAAGCTTGGATTTCACTGGATTTCTGGCAGATAATCAAGTATTTTTCTGTACTTGCATGTTTGTAAAGAGATGAACCATAGGGACATGTACTGCAGAGATTAACTGATTTTTTTTTTTTTGTCTACACATACACTTTAATTACAGTCATCAATCACATTAGGTGTTTCTGTATAAGTGCACTAAAAAAAAACCAAATGACCAACCTGGCAGAGCAGCTTTGCTGAGGAGTCCTGTGAGTAGAGCAAGCTCCTGTAATGATCCTAGGCTCCCTTCTTGGCCTCTTAGAATAGCTTGGATTGTGTCAGAATGAGCAACCAAGAACTGGAACACCTGACAAACAGGATGAAGAAACACAACTTATAAAATAATCCTAAAATAAACACTGCAATCCTCTTAATGTTTTTGGGCATTCACCTGTCCGGCTGCCTGTAGGTGCTGAGCCGTGCTGGAGGTCAGGATCACCTGGCAAAGCAAAAGAGCAGGTAACAAGATCTGCCTGTATCTTTCCAGAGGTGCGGAGATAAAGATGGGGGGTATCTCGTAACCCATATGATCTGCAATTAAAGAAGAAAGAAAACTTCACAATAGGTCAGCTCTAAAAGGATTTTCTGCTCTTGCTTGAAAAGTATGTAGCCAACTTCTTGAGCTTATTGGTTGACAGATTATACGGCACCAGTGCAAGGTCGTTCACCCTGTACCAAGAGAATATGCTGAATTCTCCTTAAATAAATTGTATGGTGGTATTATGTCATTTTGAACTACTGGTTTCAGTACTTTCTGAGCCATGGACCTGAAACAAATATGCAAATCAGAAGTTCTAACTTCATTCTGACTCGCTATCTTGCTTAGTTGTTCCAGGTCAGCGATGCAAAGTATTAAATCCAGTAAGCGAAGCAGCTAGCCAGTAATGGAAGCCTTGTGTTTCCTTCAGTGCAGGTTTCCATAAAAGGTGAATTAAACAGAAGAATAAAAAAAAAAAAAGATTTTTGTCACTTCCAACTAAAAATGGGATTTTTGGTTTATCTGTAAAATCTTTTTCTTTGATTGCATCACAGGACACTAGGGGTGGAGATTTACTAAAACCGGTACGCATAGAATCTAATGCAGCTGTACATAGAACCTTATTGTCAAAGCTTCATTGAACAAGCTGAAGTTAGAAGTTGATTGGTTACTATGCACAGTTGCACCAGATTCTGTGTACACCAGTTTTAGTAAATCTTCCCCAGAATATCTTCATATCCATTACGACAGTGTTATGCTGCCACCTGTGGGTGATTGGACATCGCATTTTCTTTATCGCACATCCCAGGGTATCTTCATATCCACTGTGATAGGAATGTAGCAAAGCAATAAATATGAGGGTAATATGGCAACAAGCCAACAGGCTTCAAAACAAGTGAACCAGATCAGGTTAGAACATCATGCAGCAGCCTGAAAGACTGGTCAGCCATAGACAGCGACCTCAGCATCTTGAATATTCACTTGGTAAAGTTTCATAAGGGTATGAACCAAAAACCAGGTAGTAGCTTTACAAACTTGAGCTACCAAAGCCAGATGACAAATAGCCCAGGAAACACCAACACTCCTTGCAGCATGAGGCATCAACAAAAAGGTGGAACATTGCCCTTTAGACCATTAGCTTGAGAAATAAGCTGACAGATCATCAAGAAATGGTAGATTTGGAAACTATGACCATTCCTTGGGCCTTCAGGAAGCACAGAGGGAATTGGACTGGGGAACTGCAGCAGTCAATTTCAGGTAACACCTGATACCACAAGCCACGTCCAAGGTGTGAAGAGACTGGTCTCTCAGCACCTGAGGCTCAGGATAGAAAGGTTGCGACACAATACTTGCTTGAGGTGGAACGAACAAACCACCTTAAAAGTGTTACTAAACCCTGCATTCACTATCTGGTCTCTCACAGTACACAGAACATGGAAATACAATTATGTTAGTAAATATAAACAGCTAAATATCTTTTCTCATCAGCAGTTAGAGCAGTTTTTTGACTTCTATCAGTGTTCAGCAGAGCACTGGTTAAAGCTTGTAGGAGGAGTTTTCTTTTTGCTCTAGGAGGATGCAGAACCCCTAACCTGTCTGGACAGTGCTGATTGGCCCTGTGCTCTCTAGCAATACACACCAAACTGAGCATGTGCAGAGTGTCTCCACACAATATGTCTTAGCAGGAGATAAGAGGGGGGCACTGGAAGAAGAGGAGGATCAGAGAAGTCAGGATCAAACAACATTTTTACACAATGCAGAATATTAACCCCTTAGGTTCAAAAGTGATTATAACAAGCAAGCTTTACTGCATATACAGACTGATTTTACTGTTGTGGGTTTAGTAACACTTTAAGTAAATAAACAGCTGAGGCCATGGAACCACCTTCTTACAGTGAAGCAAAAGAAATGATCCCTTACAGGTAAGAGCACACAATTCTGAAACTCTTTGAGCTGAAGTAGAGGGAAACAGAAAAATAACCTTCCATTTCAGAAGAACTAAAAGATTTACCCAGATGGGTTCAAAAGGAGGACATTTCTGTGATACAGAAAGTACCATTTTGAAGTCCCATGGAGTAAACGGAGTCTGAACTGGTGGAAAAATATGCATAATGCCTTGCAAAAAGGCGTACATAAGGAATGAGACACAGTTTCTGAAAAAGGATCACCAAGGTTGAAATCTCATCATTAAATCATACTCAAGGCCAGTCTCAGATCAACTCCAAATTGGAGAAATTCAGTAAAATTAGGGAGAACTGGTCCCAGAGTGTCAACAGAGAATCCCTGCAAAGGCTTGAAGATCCCTATTCCTGGAGGCAAACTGGGCAATTTCCACATTGAAACTGGATGCCAGAAGATGTACTTCTGAGGTTCCCCACTGTTGCCATAGTTCCTTGAACAACTCTGGGTGAAGAGCCCACTTTCACATAGACAGTTGTTGACTGCTGAGAAAATCTGCCTGCCAATTTTTTACATCTGGAATGTGAAACATGAAGTTCAGTCCACAACAGGATGAGATCCACTTCCTCCTGAGCAGACTGACTTCTAGCGTCTCCTCTATGATTTATGTATACCACTTGTCCAATTGAACCCCGTACAATTAGTCCCTTAAGCTACACAGACCAATACAGTAGGGCAAGACAAATCGCCCTCAATTCTAGGATGTTGATGGAGAAAGACCTTTCCTGCAGTGACCAAGAACCCTAGACTGAGAGATAGTCCAGAACTCCACCCCAGCCCACCATGCTGGCATCTGTGGTCAGGGCCCTTCAGGACAGAGGCAGAAATAATCTGTGATGGCACTGGGGAATCCAATGACTGTGTCCTCCAGTCCCATGCTGCCAAGACATTTCCTTGGAGGGGTCTGGAATGAAACTGGGCAAAGGGAACTGCCTCAAAGGAGGCTACCATCTATCCCAGAACCCTCATGCAAAAGTGAATTGAGGGATTTGAGCAGGTCCATCTGAGCCCTCACAGCAGAACATTTGTCCAGAGGGCGGTTCACTCCTCTGGATGGTATCCAGGGTCAAAACTAAATATTCCAACTTCTGGTTTGGGATGAAGTTCAACCAGAGCCACTACATTGCAGACACACTAGTCTGCAACTTTCCCCCCCATCTATGGCCAGCCATAGAGGGCAACATAATTCTAGGTTGCAGAGGTCAACACTGTCAGTAAACACACTGTAAGCAGCCCCAGTCAGGGGCATCTGGTACAGCGGGACGGTTCTCCTCATGTCTAAAATCAGACACGTTGCGATCATGTGGGGGGTAAGGCAACTGAAGGCTCAGGGTAACACACAAGGCCTTGGGTACTTAAGAAACCCAAGCAGCTGGTAACTGATGAGTCGAGTGGTTGCAGGTGACCAAAGCCACTGTAGGCAGGTATCAAGAATGGACTAAACATTAAAATTTCACATGACTCTTTGTAAGCAGCAGAAGATGCTTCTGAAACACTCTACAGCGGGACAGAGAACGCAGGCGAATTATACCCTATGCAGCGGATGTCATCAGCACCTTATCCCTTCTGTAGTGGAAACCGTCAGGAAGCAGGGAATTTTAAGGGCACCCAGTGACCAATGTAACTGAGGTAGCTCCCAATGCTCAGCCGAACTGACTTACTCACGGAGTGAGTCTTCAAAGACAGGGTAAGTGTTGAGGCAATTCTGGCAGCTCTGGAACTGGAGAAAGTGTTCCGGGACTAATTGGATACCACAGCTGAGACTGTAAAATGCCCTACATAGAACCCAGTGCCCAAAAGGTCACTACATGACTATCCCTGGAATGTCCAATCCAGTGGATTTTGGATAGAGCCCTCAAAAAAGGCAGGCAAGGACAGCTGCACCAAATAGCTACAAATTAAAAGTACCAGCTCTAGCTAGGATTTTTTTTTAAAATGGGGCCTGTAAAAATGTTAGTCTTTTACACAGCACAGGTGAAGAAAAAAAAAAAAATCTTCCTAGCACAAAAGCAAAAAAAAAAAAAAAAAAAATTAGTAGGAAGGATTATACTGGGCTGGCCTAACATTTTTTTCGCCTGCCAGTGTCCAATCCTCCTGTAGGCTGCAGTATAACCTTAAGGGGATTGACTTGTCCCTCGGTGGATGAGAAAGAAATACAGACACTCCCATATATATACAGTATTTCACCTGTGCAATTATAGAGGGTAAAATAAGTATTGGCAGCACAGTGGCTAAATGGTTAGCACTTCCGCCTGGCAGTACTAGGGTCGTTGGTTCAAATCCCAGCCACGGCACCACCTGCCTGGAGTTTGCATGTTCTCTCTGTGCCTGCATGGGTTTCCTCCGGGTGCTCTGGTTTCCTCCCACACTCCAAAGACATGCTGGTAGGTTAATTGGATCCGGTCTAAATTGGCCCTAGTATGTGTATGTATGAATGTAAGTTGGGGACCTTAGATTGTACACCCCTCGAGGGTTAGGGACTGATGTGAATGTACAATATATATGTAAAGCGCTGCGTAAATTGACGGCGCTATATAAGTACCTGAAATAAATAAATAAATATTGAACACATCACCATTTTTCTCAGTAAATATATTTCTAAAGGTGCGATTTAAATTTTCCCCTCATGTTGGTAACAACCCAAGCAATCCATACACACAAAGAAACCAAAACAAATATATTTAGAAATTAATTTATGTGTAATAAAATAAAATGACACAGGGAAATATTATTGAACACATGAAGAAAGTGAGGCGCAAAAAAGGCATGCAAAGCCAAGACACCAGCTGAAATCTCTCAGTAATTAGAAAGCAATCCTTCCCCTTGTCAGTGCAAAATAATATTAGCTGGTTCAGTCTCAAATGATTGCCTATAAAAAGGTGTCTCATTACCAATGTGTCAAACAAGAAACATCTCATGATGGGTAAAGCAAAGAGCTCTCTCAAGACATTCACAACCTTATTGTTGCAAAACATACTGATGGCAATGGTTACAGAAGGATTTCTAAACTTCTGAATGTTCCAGTGAGCACTGTTGGGGCCATAATCCGGAAGTGGAAAGAACATCATTTCACAACAAACTCTGTAAGATTACTTACAGAGGAGTGAAAATAATTATCAGAAGAGCTGTCCAAAAGCAAAGGACTACTTGTGGTGCGCTTAAGAAAAACCTGGAATTAGCAGGTACAATTGTTTCAAAGAAAACAATAAGTAATGCATTCAACCGCCATGGCCTATATACACAGTCACCAAGCAAGACTCCATTGCTGAAGAAAAAGCATGTTGTAGCTCGTTTAACTGCCTCCCGCCTGCCATATAAGGTAATGACGGGCGCAAGGCAGTTCTCTCATTCTGGGAGGACGTCATATGACGTCCTCCCACTCTAACCGCGCAGCGTGGCGCGCTGTGTCCCTCGGGTCAGCGGATCACTGATCAACAGAAAGAGCCGAAGATGTTGGCTCGGTCATGTGATCAGCTGTGTCCAATCACAGCTGATCGCATGTAAATAGGGAAATGCCGGTTATCGGCATTTCTCTACTCACGAGCTGTCAAGCTGACAGCTCGAGAGGAGAGTCAGTAATCAGCATTCCTTGGAGGGGGACATGTGCACTGATGATCAGTGTGCCCTGATTATCAGTGTAGCCCCAGAAGTGCCACCTATCAGTGCCCATCAATGCCACCTGCCAGTGCCCATCAATGCCACATATGAGTGCCTACCAGTGCACATCAATGCCACATATCAGTGCCCATCTGAGCTGCCTTTCAGTGTCACTTATCAGTGCCACCTATCAGTGCTGCCTTTCTGTGCCCATCAGTGATGCCTGTCAATGCCCATCAGTGACACCTACTAGTGCCTCCTCATCAGTACAGCCTATCAGTGCCCATCACTGCAGCCTCATTAGCGCACATCATCGAAGGAAAAAAATCACTTATTTACAAACTTTTAGAACAAGAACTAAGAAAAAAAAGTGTTTTTTTTTCTTCAAATTTTTAGTTTGTTTAGCAAAAAATGAAAAACCCAGAGGTGGTTCTATACCACCAGAAGAAAGCTCTATCTGTCTTAAAAAAAAAAAAGGATACAAATGTAATATGGGTACAGTGCTGCATGACCATGCAATTGTCATTCTAAGTGCGACAGCGCTGAAAGCTGAAAACTAGCCTGGGCAGTAAGGGGGTATAAGTGCCCTGTAGTCAAGTGGTTAAAGTTTGCTGCACGACATTTAGACAAGCCTGTGAAATACTGGGAGAATATAGTCTGGTCAGATGAGACCAGAATTGAACTCTTTGGATGCCATAATACACACCATGTTTGGAGGTCAATTGGCTCTGCAGATCACCCCAAAAACACCATCCCAACAGTGAAGTTTGGAAGTGGGAACATCATGGTGTGAGGCTGTTTTTCAGCATACGGAACTGGTAGACTTCATGTCATTGAAGGAAGGATGAATATAAAAATGTACCAAGACATTCTTGATACATATCTGAAGATGAAATGGTGTTGGACATTTCAGCAAGACAATGATCCCAAACACAAAGCTGTCATTACCAACAAAGTATTTTGTATGCAGTATTAAATAAATTTCAGTTAACATGTTTAATACTTCCTTGTGTCATTCCATTTTATTACACATAAGTTAATTTCTGATCTTATTTGTTTTGGTTTCTTTGTATATATGGATTGCATGGGTTGTTACCGATATGTTGTGAAAATTTCATGTCAATAACACCTTTAAAAATATATTTACTGGAGAAAAATGGTGACGTGTTCAATACTTATTTTACCCGCTGTATCTGTTTGCATGGTGTTCGCTTAAATGTGACCCTCCCTTATAACTAAGGTATACTGAGCCAGAGTAATTATCTTTTGAGAACACCTATCAAAATTTATCCCTGTGTTTAGAAAAACTACCATGGAATTATACCGATAATTGATTTTTTTTTTCTTTAAGGCGAATTGTGGTGTGGTACAGTTAGGTCCATACATATTTGGACACAGGCACAATTTTCATACTTTTGGCTCTGTATGCCACTGGAATAAATTACATAAAAACAAAACAATCCAAATGAATTTGAAGTGCAGACTTTCAAGGGGTTGAACATATAGATCAAGTACAAATTTTAGGAACTGCAACCATTTTTATACACAGTCCCTCCATTTTCAGGGGCTCAAATGTAATTGGACATATAAATATAATCATAAATAAAAATGTTCATTTTTAATATTTTGTTGAAAATCCTTTACTGGCAATGACTGCCTGAAGTCTGGAACCCATGGACATTACCAAAGACTGCGATTCCTCATTTCTGATGCTTTGCTAGGCTCTAACTGCAGCTGTCTTCAGTTGCTCTTTGTGGGTCTTTCTGCCTTTAGCAAGTGAAATGCATGTTCAATTTGGTTGAGATCAGGTGATTGACTCGGCCATTGCAGAATATTCCACTTAGTTTCCTTCAAAAGCATTTGCAGTGTGTTTTGGATCATTGTCCGTCTGTACTGTAAAGTGCCGTCCAATCAACTTTGCTGCATTTGGCTGACAGTATCTCTCTAAACACTGCAGAATTCATCCAGCTCCTTCTGTCTTCACTCATATCATCAATAAACACCAATACCCAGTGCCACTGGAAACCATGCATGCCCATGAAATCACACTGCCTCCACTATGATTTACAGATGACATTGTATGCTTTGGATCATGAGCTGTTGCAAGCCTTCTCCACACTTTTTTCTTCCCGTCATTCTGGTACATATTAATATTAGTTTCATCCATCCAAAGAATGCTTTTCCAGAACTGGTCTGGCTTTTTTTAGATGTTTTTTGGCAAAGTCTAATCTGGCTTTTCTATTCTTCAGGCTTATGAATGGTTTGCACCTTGTGGTGGTATTTTCTCTTGTCTTCTCTTGATTGTAGACTTTGACAATGATACGCCACCTCCTGGAGAGTGTCCTTCACTTGTCTGGATGTTGTGAATGGGTTTTTCTTTACCATAGAGAGGATCCTGCGATTATCCACCTCTGTTGTCTTCTGTGGACGTCCATTCATTTTATGTTGCTGAGCTCACCAGTGCGTTCTTCTTTCCTCAATTTGTACCAAACTGTTGATGTGGCCACTCCTAATGTTGCTGCTATCTCTCTGATGGATTTGTTTCGTTTTGAAGCTTTGCAATTGCCTGTTTCACTTGCATGGACAGCTCCTTTGAACGCATGATGTAGGTTCACAGCAATAGATTCTAAATGCAAACACCACACTTAGTATCAACTCCAGACCTTTTACCTGCTTAATTGATGAAGAAATAACGAAGGAGTAGCCCACACCTGGCCATGAAACAGCTTTAGATTCAATTGTCCAATTACTTTTGGTCCCTTGAAAAAGGAGGATGGCTACTCTTAAGAGCTGTAATTCCTAAACCCTTCCTCTAATTTGGATGTACCTGAGTGTGTGCACTTTCATCCCATATCCATTATACCACTATAGCTTGAATATGTTTTGGTAAATACCGGGGAAAAAAAAAACTAAAATTGCGCCTGTGTCCAAATATATATGGACCTAACTGTATATTTCCCTGCCCTTCAAAATATTTTGATGTGTGTTCTGCCTTTCCAATTATACTGGAGAGCAGGTTTGGTGAATCAACTCCACAATCATCCTAAAACTACCAAAAAAAGGACCATGAAAGATATGACTAGGGCAACAAAACCTACTCTAAAATGGTTACATTATACTGTATGTACATACAAATATTTTTCTCTTTTCTTCAACAACTGAATTTCAAAGTGGTAGTGTAGCACCTATGCACAGCCAAATATTACCCCTATTAATCCAAAGGAAATCCATCACTTGGAATTCCCACTGCTTTTGTTTAACCACTTCCCAACCGGCCGTTGTATATAAAACGGCCGACCGGTGGCACTGCAGGGTCAGTGGCCGTTTATAAACAGCCTCCCGGGAGCACGCAGCACCGCGATCGGTTGGCCAATCACTGATCACATGCAAAGTAGTAAGCAAGATGTCACTTGTGACATCATTGCTTACTACGTGTGAAATCTGTGAATGATCACAGAGGTCACAGGGTACAAGGCTATTCACAACAGCCTTGTACCATGTGACAAGCTGTGACCAATCACAGCTCACTCAGTATTTCTCAATGGCTGCAAGAATGCAGACAGAGAGAAAGAGAGAAAGAGAAATGATTGCTTTTACATCCTATATGGGTATAAAAGCAATCAGTGTAAAAAAAAAAAAAAAAAAAAAAAAAAAAAAAATTCATCACCCCCCAAAAGTAGTAGAGTGTCAGCATGGTGACATTGTACTGCTAGGGTGACAGTATGTAAAAAAATAAATAAATAAATAAATAATAATATATATATATTAAAAAAAAATGTTTCAAAATTATAATTTTTGGTTATAAACTAATTTGGCTTTTTTTTTTTTTTTTTTTTTTTTACTAAAAAGGTAACGGAATAAATTTTGGCCAAGATTTATGATGAAATATTATTGATTTGCAAAATTTTATAAGAAAAACACTTTTTTTTCGAAATTTTTGGACATTTCCATTTACATAGCAAAAAAAAAATTAAAATCCCAGCGGTGAATAAATACCACCAAAATAAAGTTTTTATCAGTCTCAAAAAAATGGTTAAAAATTCATATGGGTACAGTGTTGCATGACCACGCAATTGTCAAACTGTGATAGCGCTGAAAGCTGAAAATTGCCCTGGTCAGGAAGGGGGTAAAAGTGTCCGGACTGGAAGTGGTTAAAGAGGTCTTTCACTACTCAGACCTTCTCAGTCTTCTCCAATGCAACAAAGCTCACCCTTAGAAAATCATTGATTTCTGAAGCCAGACTCTGCCTGCATTGGAAAGTAACAGCTTCCTGAATTTGGGCAGTTGTCTCAATTAAAGCCAAGCAGTTTTTTTGAGTTGCATGGCAGAACTGCATGTACACAACTTCAAGTCAGAACAGATTTTCTTCCTATCAAATTCAGTAGGAATGCAAAAATAACTTAAAGCAGATGGTGAAGCTAAAACAGAACTGCAGGTCAGAAGGAAGTCAAATAGAGTTGTAAAGGAAATCAGAAGCATTTTAAGGACAAGTTGAATACACTTGAAAATGCTTCATTTTCACAAGCTCATAAACAGTTCAAAAGGACCGGAGGGATTATGTGTACAATGTAACAAAGCAGGACAACAAGAATCACGGCATCCCTTTCTAAAAAATGGATAACACATCTGGACTCTTCACTTACCCGTGTTGGTCAACTTCTGGGCGCATATCGTAAACTTGGCACTGTGCCAGTCTTACAATCACCCCACACCGCAGTAGCTCCAGTGCACCCTGTTGGCTTTTGGCTACTCGGGTAAGAAAGGCCTATGTAAAAATAATTGTACAAAAAAAAAAATTATATAATTCACTCCAATTCTTTTTATGTCTATGAAGAAATTAGCTACTAACAGAACAAAAGATGTCTAGTTGTCTCAGGATTAGTAAAAAAGTGCACAAACTGAAATCTTCTCTACACAGGTAGAATTTCTATGTTAGGACCATGCAACATGAACGATTCTGCTGCTGGAGAGGGAGACTTTCACTTAGCTAAACCCCTTCCTGTGCCTCTACACATCTGGCAGCACAGAGGTGGGCCATAGTCTGTGCTGCCAAATATATAGGAACCTGTTTTGTGCTGGGAGTACGCTCATTTGAATGCCACTGACAGCTTGTGCTAAAGGATACATTTTCCAGCATACCAAGTATCTTTAAAATAGAATCCAAAAATGTAATAAAATGATCGCATCACAGCAAGAAATTCTGACCTTTTGGGGCCACACAGGAACCCTTTACCAGGGATGTGATGAAGGGGATCTGCGCAGACCCAAAACTTCGCAATTCCTGCTGTGATGTAAACATTTAAATACATTTTTGAACACCATTTTGGGGATCCATGGTGTTCTGGCAATAAATACTTTGAGGTGTGTTGCCACGGGCACCCAGCTGGTAGTTGCTACAGCACCCACCTGTTCTAAGCCATTCCAGGAACATGTGCGATGGGAATATTCTATTGGACTGACAGCTCTTGGTCAAATAGCAATGATTGCAGGTTGGCAGGATGGGCTCCCAATCAAGGGATCACTGACAGCCAATCACAATGGTCACACAATCAGGAAGCCACATGCTAAGATCCACAAAGGGTTGGGAGGAGGGGGACAGCAGAAAGGGGTTAATGAAATTACTGTATCTAACATCTAACTGGTCTGGCTTGTTAGGAGAAACTTCACAGAAAAAGAGAAGTGGCCCATTATTTATCTGTCACTAGCAAGTTGCTGCCAGCAACAAGATCAGTCATGTGTCATAAGCCTTAGTACACAAGTTCCAATAGGAAGAGCAATCAATTAGATAAAAATAATATACAGCAAACCCAGCAGAATTTGTTTGAGAGTGTCATGCAAGTCATTACATTAATTTGAACTGAGGGTGCACAATACTGTATCTATGAAAGAGCACCAGCATCGTCACCCTAGCCTGTCCTCCTTATGTGGACTACAAAAGCCATACTCTCTCCATAACATGAGAGGAGACATAGTGAAGTGAATTGAGAAAAGGTGACCAAGTCGATAACATTGTTTGAGAATTCAGGTACACCACACAGGGAGTCACAAGAACACTGGATTATTATCAGGAACAACAAGTGTTTTGCTGTATTTGCTGAAGATGTTCTTAGCCTGAAGAGAAAACTAAAGCATCCAAAGACTGGTAACATGCAATATATTACATCTTTGTTCTTGGGTTTAGACGTACATTAACATCTAAGGGAGGGAATGAGATTTAAAGAAAAACAAATATAAAAATAATCCCCCTGTGCTCCACTGGTAGGAACAAACACAACCTCAAAATATATGCAAGCTGCTACCACCTATTCCCAATACCACAGGATGTATAACATAAAAAAATCAATATTGGTGAAGCGCTTCACATATAGAACTAAATATGTAAGGTACAATGATATAAAAAAATATAAAATGCATATAAAAGTGACCACACTGTATTGAAAAGGTATAGATGACTAGTGCTAAGTATTCCCCCCCCCCCCCCCCCCAAAAAAAAATAAAAATATATAAGTGCCAAGTGCAAAACAGGTCATGCGTTTGCTGACTGAAACGTGCCAAAATACAATATATGCAAAGTAAAAGTAATACACAATGACATTGCACACTCTAACTGAAAGTGACAGGTGCTCAGTATGAGTATAAATGTAGGTTAAAAATAAAAATCCACAATAAAAGTGCAATAATAAGTGCTAGACATTTCATGTGCAAACAAACACCGCGATGTCAGTGCTTCAATTCTTCACTCCAAACATGATGCGTGTTAGCATGCCACACGTGTATATCGTAATCTAAAAGTGGCTAAAGTGCCTCCTCACCTTAACCATGCGACCCCTAAGGGCCACAATGCTTTAAGTAATAATGCTCCACCAGACTGGGGATCTCTGTTTTAATACTCCTGTAGTACCACTCAGTCTCCTCTGCCAGGTCACTTATGCCCTCAGATGGTGATACCCCCAGGATTATCACAAGGCCATAGAGAGGTAGACAAAGAGAGCCTCCATAGTGAAATACCGTTTATTCCATATAGCAGATGAAAACAAGCCAAAAGAGAACACTCACAGTATTGCAGATCTCATACAGCAGGTCTCCCATGTGCTATGGGTGTACTGCAAGGTGCTGGGTGTCCAAAGATGGCGTCTGCCGGATGTGCGTAACGGGAAGTACGCCACCGCGCTCTACGCGTTACTCCACGATGATCCTGACGAAGCCACGTGATTACTTTTACTTTGCATATATTGTATTTTGGCATTTCGGATGTGCGTAACGGGAAGTACGTCACCGCGCTGTACGCGTTACTCCACGATGATCCTGACGAAGCCACGTGATTACTTTTACTTTGCATATATTGTATTTTGGCACGTTTCAGTCAGCAAACGAATGACCTGTTTTGCACTCTCAGCACTTATACATATTTTTTTTTTTTTTTGGGGGGGGGGAAATACTTAGCACTAGTCATCTATACCTTTCAATACAGTGTGGTCACTTTATATGCATTTTATAAAAAAAAATATTGTTCCCTCTTACACTCCAGATATTCACTGATTCCCACAATGAAAAATATAAAAAAGTCAGAACAGCATAACCCGTTACTGCTAGTAACAAATATACAGACACCTGAATCAAATAAAACAAACAAACAAACAAACGTCAGATTTATGCAAACATCTTCTCTGTAGTTCAGAACTTCTTTAGAAGCCACATACCATTTTGGATTCATAGATGTACAGAGCCTTTAAGACTGGAGACTGAGGCATTAGAAGATTCTGTAAGACATTGTCATCCTGAGCCAAAGTGTCTACCAGCACCTTAAGATATCCGCTGTTGGATAGATAGAGAAGCCACTGTTGCTGCTTGTCCATACAAACCATCCGATCCAACAAGGCTAGTGCCAACATCTGAAGGACAAAGTAAGACGTTTGGGAAAAAAGAATTTTGCTGCGACAACAGAAAATGAGGCATGACACCCCCTTACCCTGCTTATCTCACGTCCATCGCAGGCATCTCTGCAGACAAACTTCCATCAGAGGGGCCCAGTAGCTCTCAAATATTGCCAGATTGTCCCTCTGTAATTTACTAAACACATCTTCAGGAGCTGTCAGCCTCTCCCACATGGTCTTATTAGCTGAATGAAGAACATTTAAGAAGGCTGAAAACACACAAAAAAAACAAAACAAAAACAAAAACAAAACAAAAAAAAAAAAAAAAAAAAAAAAAAAAAAAAAAGACGACTGTTCTATACATCTTTCATTGAGTAAGTCATGTTTGCACCCCTACCACAGCACTTCCAAAATTACTGCATCAAGTGTGGCTGTGTGGACATATCCGTATAGCCACACAAAAGAGGGCCACATGACAGGCCATATTTTTGGGCATCTTGACGTAATGCACATTACGGTTTCACAGCAACATTGTTGCCTGTACACGAATATTATATAGACCTAAATGGAACGCTGCTCCTTCAACAGGACAATAGTGAGTGGGCAGCCCAGGACAATTTTACAGGCTGGGCTGAATACAGCGCAGAAGACTGAGTATACTGATAGAGCTAGGCAGATAACTTAAAAGTTAACTTTTTTTTTTTTTTTTTTTTACATTGAGTTTGTTCAGGCAGAAATTAGTATGACAGTAATGTCTTTACAGGTTCAAGATCTTTAAAGTTCTCACACAAATGTTCCTAGATCATCCAACATATTTTATGGAACCTGAGATTTTTTTTTTTTCATAATGGGGAGAGGGGATTTATTTAAACTTAATACATTAATAAAACAAGATGAATTTCCCCTTCTTTTTTTTTTCATGTATGGTCTGGATTTGATACTTGGAAGCCTGATCCAGCACCCACACGCACCACATACTTTTGCAGCAACAGATCACTTCTAACACTAACCTACTGCTTTCTGGTCAGGTGGGGATTTGGGCTTGAAAGCTACAAAAAGGCTAACCTTAAACATTTTCCAACATACATTTCATTAAATTAGCAAAAAAATTGCTTTAAGAAAATCTGGACCTTTCTTACACCGGCTACTAGTGTATCGGGTTCATCCGGTCTCTGGGCAATTTGCAAGTAATAAAGCAAAGATCCATACAAGTGGGTCCGAACTTTCTGAAGCCCACCTCCTGTACAAACAGTAGACACAAAAATGTTTAGTAGAAATTCAAAGCTGTAAAAGTCAATCAAAGGGAATACAAACAGCTAAATATGCATTTAAAATACAATCATATAGTGTTCTACCAGCTAAAGGATTTGTAATTTTGTGCAGTAAGTCTTGTGGTTCACAATAAACTGCAACATTGCACAGTCAGGAACACTATTATGTCCTGGTTCAACTTACCATATCATCTCCCTACACCAGATAGGTGACACAGAAACCAGAAAATAGTGAAAGGGGAGTGTATCTAAATATTAGATTTTTCCTTTAATGAAGTTTTGACAACAACATTACCTATGAAAAAACAGCAATGTCTAGATCAAGGGAGATTGTATCTCAAGCAACCCCACTATATTCATACCTGTCTTGAGAATGAATTCTAACAGTTTTCTGAGGATCATATGAAGTGATGAATCTCCGATCGAGACATATCCTGTAGACAGAGATTCACCTCCTGCAGAAGCAGCAAAAGACCCATCCAACATCTGGACGTACTGTGACTGGTTCATCCCTGAAGTGGACATTGGTTGCTTCTGTTCAGTGTATATGGCCTGCTGCAGGTGTGCTGTGAGAGTAAATACGGCACCAGCTACCACAGGCATCAGCTCTTTTGTGGCGTTGTCATCCAGGATCTGTGGTAAAAAGGAGGCAAATTAATCTCTGAAACTCTGCTGTCAAGCTAGCAGTTGGCAAAGAATCAGAATCACATAATGAATGACGGCTGCTATTACAGAACTTCAGTTAACATTTCTCAGGGTTTAAAAAGGTGACTGACAAAGATGAGCAGCTAGATGCCTGCTGGGCCAGATTCACTGACTAGGAAATTCAATTCTTGGGAATTGTTGATCAATAGCTGCTATTTGCTCAGCTGGCAACAACGCCTGCTATTTTACTGTAATGGAATTCAGCTATGGTCTTTCCTTACGAAAGCAAGGACCAAGGTACAGAACACATTAATGCAAGGTCATTAGAGTACACTTCTGCCTAACTTATGAACATTAAAGCGGAACTCCACCCAAAAGGGGAAGTTCCTTTTTTTTTTGCATCCCTTCCCCCCCTCCAGTTCCATATATGGCATCTTTTTTTGGGGGGAGGAGGGAGTGGTTACCAGCTCCCACTACCAGGTCAGATTGCTGCGGCCGGAAGTTGTTCCCCCCCCCCCCAACCCCTGCAGCCTTCTGGGACACTTCACAGGTCCCAGAAGACTGCGGCCCATTCACAAAACGCAGCGGCCTTTGCGCAAGCGCAGTAGGAAACCAGCTGTGAAGCCGAAAGGCTTCACTTCCGGTTTCCCTTACTGAAGATGCTGTCGCCAGCACCTAAGCCAATTGAAGAATCAGCTTGGGTGAGGACATTGAAGGACCCCCGGGACAGGTAAGTGCCCATATATTTAAAGTCAGCAGCTACAGTATTTGTAGCTGCTGACTTAATTTTTTTAGGGGAGCTCCACTTTAAAGTATTTACCTATTCCTAAACAGCAAAAAGGTTAAAAAACAAGCTGTTGCTTGTACTATGAAGTCATTTTCAAAGACCTTCAGAGATCTCACCAAAGACCCTAAAATGAAATTCAATCCATTTCAAACAGCTTAGAAAAATTTGCTTATATTATTGTATAATATTTGGTTGAGGGCTGGTCGGCTGGCAAAGATTCTGTCCAAATAGGAAGTGAAGTAAAGCTTCTGTGCCTGTGTTCTGGTTGTGAACTTTGAAGATTATCTTCACAATCCCTATAGCTACAGAGGTGCATATTTTCTTGATATCAATTGCTTTCTACTGCTTGTTCAGAATATTAGGATTTTTGGTTTACCTGTAAAATAATTTTCTTGGAGTACATCACAGGCAACAGAGGGATTCACATTCATTATTGGCACTATGCTGCCACCATCTGGTGAGTGGACATTGAAGAAAAAAAAAAAGGGGGGGGGGGGGGGGAGGGGGGTTGGGGAATCCCTGCATAGGGATAATGCATAACCCCTTCCAGCTCAGTTAAGCCTCAATTTTGTAGCAAGCAATGAGAAACAGACAAGGAGGGAGAGATTTCTGTATTCTGTGATGCACACGAAGAAACTAATTTTACAGGTAAACCAAAAATCCTAATTTTGTAATCATACATCAGAGGACACAAATGGCTTCACATTTATGAATACTTGGGATGTCCCAAAGCACTGCACATGAGTGAGGGACAACAAAGGACCCTCAGAAAAAAACAAACAGGAAATGAGACTGTCAAAATAAAGCAGAAGAATTCAGATAAACAGGAACAGTTCAAAAGTAGAATTCTGCAAAGCAAACAAAGAGACAAAAGGGTGCACAGTCAGAACAATCTGTGTGACACCGTGCACAAAGGCTTTTACCAAGAAGTGAGACGCAATAGATCTCTAAAAAAGAAAGGACAAGATTTATCCCTTGATTGTTCTTCAATCACAAGACAGTTCCACACTAGCCTGGATAAAAGCCAAAATGTACCCCCACAACATACTGTGGGGCATGAAGCTTACAAGCCTCACACCAGTCAAAGTTTTCCCATGCACGGTAGTACACCTTCCTGGAAGTCAAATTTCTTGCTTCAAGGAGTGCAGGGATTACACAGTTAGAAAATTGGATTTTTGTGCTCACCATAAATAGCCTTTTCTCCAAGTTATATTGAAACTGAACTTCTCATGGATGATTTTGATACTGCCACCTTCAGGATCAGGACGCTAGTGCAACTTATAATAAATGTACGCCAAACTCCCCCCCCATCTACAACCCAGAATTCAGTTAGTAGTCAGCAGTACAAGGACGACAAG